GAATGTCATGGGATAAAGAAAACAATTTTATAAGACAGAATTGTTTTTGCAAGAATGCAACATTTTTTGTTTGTTCAACTCCTGGTTCTATGAGTCACAGTCTCTTGTCTTCTGAGATTGTCACCTACAATTCCAGGTTGGGCAGTTAAAACACATTCTTCTCAGTAAAGTATTTCAAGAGTGGAAAAACAAGTATCCAATGTACTCAATACTAATATGAAACCAGTATATAAACAACACACACCCAGATGAAAGAAAAAACACAAGTATAGTTTAGCAAGGGGAAGAGAAGAAGAGGGAGAGGTGAGGGGGGAGGAGGGTGGGCAGTTGGTGAGATCTCACCTAACATGCCCAATATTAGCGTGTTCAGCATGCCCCCTGGGTGAAGGGCTCAACTACAACTTGAACTTTATTTTATAAATGAAAACAATGCAACCTTAACATTTGTACCTTCATATTAATCTGAAATTAAAAAAAAAAAAGCCCAGTGGGAGGTTATGGAAGTGAAGGATTAGCTATTTCTGTTTCAGCTGACTCAGAGATAGAGATGTAAATCTCCAAAACCATCCCTCAGCCAGGTATTAAGGCCGACTCTAATCCTTAACAGAGTCAGTGGTCAATCTGACCTCTCTGGTTATAGCACACACCACACCGGTAACATTTGGTGCTCATTTAATGTTTGGAAACCCACCCACCTCTCTGCTGGACATTGAAATCCAACTTGCTAATGCTTTTTGTTTTCTAGGGTCAAAGCCAGAGCTGATGCCACAGTCTTTCAGAATGCCAAGACCAAGAGTGGCCCACCCAAGGGTTCTGTTTGGTCAGCACTGTAATTTTAAACAATTCTGAATCTGAAAATGTGTAGACACCGCATTTCGCCAGCACTTCCCCCTGCTGTCTGACTCCCAGACTTTCTCCCTCCTGAGGTGGCTTCCAGCTTCTGGCCTGATCCTAGTGTGGGTATTCTCTTACAGCACGTTTCTTCTCCAGATGTCTCGTGACCAAAGCAGGGTGAGGCATCTCAGAATTCTGCCTCAATGACATAGATTGGCTGAAACTTCAGAATTTCTTCTTTAAAATCCCCCAGCCCCCAGAAAAAACTATGTGGACTATCCATAAAGGAAGTCTTACTTAGTCATCAAAAGGCATGACCTCTCCATACATGCTATGACATGGATGAACCTAGAAAGATTATGCTCAGGGAACGAAGCCAGTCACAAAAGAACAACACTTCTGTGTTTCCATTTATAGGAAATAGACAAAATTGGTAAATCTATAAGATAGAAAGCAGATTGCTGGTTGTCAGGGATTGGGGGGAGAATGGGGAGTGTCTGCTTAATAGGTCACTTGTGGGGTGATGAAAATACTTTGGAACTAAATAGAGGTAGTGTTTGCATAAATTGTGAGTGCACTAAAAACTACAGCATTGTACACCTTAAAATGGTTAATTTTATGTTATATGAATTTGACCTCAATAAAAACAAAATTCCCCACTCTGCTCCCTCCAGCAAGCAAACTGTTTCTGAGGACCAAGGGCACTCTGTTCTTTCTTGTCACTAAGGATACCAAACTCAGGCTTGGCGCCTGTGGCTCAAGCGGCTAAGGCGCCAGCCACGTACACTTAAGGTGGCGGGTTCGGATCCCCAGCCCAGGCCCGCCAAACAATAATGATGGCTGCAACCAAAAAATGGCCAGGCGTTGTGGCGGGCGCCTGTGGTCCCAGCTACTTGGGAG